CTCCTTCTCCTCTGCTGCCCATGGAGGCTAATGGAGGGGACAGCGGACCCGGAGGCAAGTCGGCACTGCTGAATCAAATCAAAGAAGGCGCCCAGCTGAAGAAGGTGGAGCCGAAAGAGAGGCCCGTGTCCAGCACCGGTAGAGACGCGCTTCTGGATCAAATTCGACAAGGAGTGCAGCTTAAAGCAGTCAGTGTTCATTTATCACACACAGCTCAGCTCTCAGTCAGCTGTCATATGCTATAACTTTGGCTGCTCTTGCCATCTTCTTTACAGAGGGATGACAACACAGATTCAACTCCTACCACCCCGGGCTCCTCGACAGGCATTGTAGGGGCCCTGATGGAGGCAATGCAGAAAAGGAGCATGGCTATTCACTCTTCAGGTAGTGTATATACAGGGACACAGTCAACATCGTCTCAACCAGCATACTATGTTATCATCCTTGTTTTGAAGTGGAATTCCAACCACAATGAACAGTTATCCTGTTTTTTACCCATCATGTTCAGTAGAAAGTGTTTAGAGCTAGATGTCAGTAATAACCTCTAAACAAAAACTTTCCCAAGTATAGATGGCATTCACACTCATTCAACTCAACATTATATAAAAGCCAAATTTTACTTAAGTGAATTAATCCATAGTTTTTTTTTCACGTTGCACCTTAAATATTCGAAAACAGAAAAATATTGTAAGAGTGACATGACTGACAGAGGCATAACCAGATACAGCTAAGAGAGGATTTTGTAGTAGAGGTTTATTTCACAATACATGTGAGTACATGTACTCGATTGATGCCACACAAATACTTTGAGCAGGTGCAGGCGCTCACTGTGTCCACATGACATTAAAACTCTAGACAATGTGTCATGAGATTTTCATCACTTCCTCATCAGTCTCAAACAACCTTGTGATTCTTTGTTCCATCTTAAGCCTCTTATTGGAGGAACTATTTCTTTCCTGTTTGAAAGTTGTCCTTAAAATATCTTCAGAGAAACTTCAGAGTAAAGGTCGTCTCTGTGACACAAATATATACAGCTATTCTGAAGTTCTTGCTACTGCAAAAATGTGAATCTTATCTGGAAAGGGAGGCACTTTGGGGAATTTAATTTGTTTGAATTATCATATGGTTGTTTTCTCTTCCACAGAAGAGGATGATGACGATGAAGATGATGAGGATTTTGAGGATGAAGATGAATGGGATGACTAGAATTGTTTTTTCCACCTCTATACCATAACGGATGGTTATAACACTAAAAGTTGTTCTTGTCTTTCTAAAAAGAAATCTTCAGTTTTAAAATGATAAATGTAAATGTTATATCAATTTGCTGTATATTTTTGTTGCCTTTATGCTTTTTTCTTATTAATTTGTGCAATACCTCATTTAATCTGTAAATGTTTGCCATTCTCATATCTTGTTGCTTCGTTCTCTTCGTCATGTCTGTCTGTGTTCCTCTTGGCTCCATCTCTGTCTCTAGATCTGTTTTCCATCTCTGCATTTTTTTTTTTCCTCCTCCGCCCACCTTCCCAACTTTTTGATGTATTTATCACCTCCATCTGTCACTCAGCTTCCCAGCACACGTATTCCCTCCCTGTCACTCTCCCATGTTCCCACATTAATGTACATCAAGTTGTCTCTTGAACCTTAAAATTGATTTTTTTTAATTATTTTTTTTAACCAGTTGTCAGGGATTGAATTGGAGGGCTTATGAAATTACTTGACACAAATCCTTCATCAGTTGTATCATCGTTGTTCGTCAGGAGGAAAGAAATTGAACTATTTTCATACCCTTTTGCTCTGTAGCTTATTTTTACTTATTAAAATGATCCTAGTTTAACAGTCATATTTTCTTAAAACAAAGAAGCAAATAAGAAAAAGATCTTTTTGGGATATATAGCTTCACTTTCTGTCATCTGTAAATTTGAGTCTTGTTATATTTTTGCACAGATTGAAAGAGACTCGATGCATAAATACGGGACATTTTCAGGTCTGTATCATTATGGAACATACATAGGCTTTAAGCAGTGAGGCAACATAAACTTGGATGTTAAGCATTTTTAATCGTTAACACACAACACTACACACAGTTAACACAGGGAGGTAGCCCACAGTGTTGTAGGCGGCTATCTGTTGTGAATTTTAGGGTTTTCATGTATTTTGGTCACCGTCACACTACAGTTTTTTTTTTTTTCTTGTTCTATCTTCTTTTTTTTTTTTTTTTTACCATAGGAAGCAGAATATTAATAAATGCCTGATTGTTGGAATCAGGTAATTGATCATGTAAAACCTGAGGAATAAAGACATTTTAGTTTTACACATCTGATGCTTATTATGGGTCTGTATGGTAAGTTACTGTACAGAAACTGTGGGACTAAAGTAGCATTCTTCCTGTTATAGATACTAAGCGCTGACACAGTGTGGGGTGAAACATTAGCTTCGCGACATTAAGACAAGTATCTGAGTATCCTTGACTAATCAGTAAACTGTGAGGTAACATAGAAATTGTTCAGTGGTCAGTTACTCCCTAGGAAGGCCAAACATGTTGACATGGATTTTGTGTCAAAGCTAAAAAATATTTTGCAATAATTTTTACTATGCTTATATTTAAAAGTAGATTCATCACTTTACTAAATGCCAAATTGTGACATCAATTACAAAAAGGATTTTAAAATCTGCTTCTATATTTTTAATAAAAGTAGCAGCTGCAAGTCTTGGTGTAGTGCACTCATCCAAATTGGCTCAAGAAAGTGACTTATTTGAAGCTGTGATTTCAGCAGTTAAATTATAGCCTAATATGACTTAATCTGAATTTCTTACAAACAAACTGAAGTAGATTTGCCTCTCTCTTTAAGGCAAGGCTGTGTAACCTTTGATAAACAGCAACTACTGTGACTACAAGTAACAATTATGGGACATTGCTAATTTTAAAATCTGCTATTACAGTTGCACAAATGAAGAGGAATGGTGTATGTCACAAAGCAATAGCTATTTAAAATGTGTTAACTTTTCATGGTCGTGCCCGACCAAGGAACATAGTACCAGCAAAACCCCTGAGTGAACTGAATTAAACAATGGTGAAATTAATGGCATATGAATTCAACTTTTAATTTGTAGGAAGAAGAATGTGTTATTTCTTCTCTCAACAGATCACTTAGTCTTGCTTTAAATTTTCACACTGAAGGACACTAGAGTTGCTCACTTTTTTGTCCTTTAATTGTGGAATACAAAGCCTGGCCTTCCAGGGTTTCTCTATTGCAGCCATGTTTGCTGTTACAGCAGTCGCTAATGTTAAATTATAAGTCTTCACTTGCACTTATGAATTTGAACCAGACTAATATTTTGTGTCTCTTCTCACCCTGATAATCCAAGATCCAAAAGCAGGATTTGTTGGGTGTTTCCTCTATAATATTAATAATAGTAAAGCATAGACCTTATGTAAAGTGTCCTGAGATGACTTCTGTTGTGATTGGTGCTATACAAATAAAATTGAATTGAAAAGAGTAATAGCATTAAAGTACCACTATGGCAGACCAAAAATTCTAATCATATTAATTGAAATTAAATGTACCAACACTACCATTATTGTTAAATTAATGAGCTGCATACTTAGCAGCTAGACCTGGCAATTTAATATTTGACATTCCAGTCCAAGGAATGTTAATTTTGCACATGCTAATACAGCTAATCCACAGTGAAAGAAAAAAAAAACAACACAGGAAAAGAAAAAAGTACAGACCATTTTTTTGCCATTTAGCAATAAGAGGAATGTTTAAATTCTGTCTTGGAGTTACACATTGCCACTTGTTTGATGTAAGAACTTACTTCTGTCAAATATCAAGATACTTTTTGAGGATGGAAAGCTAGCCATGGTGTTAGTTTCTGTAGGTGACTCGGTTAATAAAATGTTATGGATGTCAAGCCTTATCAATGAGGCAGGACAAATAATGACGTCTTACATTGTACACTCCAATAAAGGGTTGATATTTACATACTTTGGGCATTTGAGCTTCCTTTAGATTCTTTTACCTTCACAACCCGCCATTCTGGAAACCTTGGTTTCAGGATGCAGAAGTTTGTAAATAAAACTTTTATTTCCAGTGATAGTGCTGGTTAATTTTTGTGTTTAGGATTTCATGTCTTAAGTTTTCATTATTTCCCTTGTTTCAGGTTTACAGATTTGAATTACTGATGGAAAGAGAATGTGATTCAAGCACAGACATTGTTGCACTAATGTATACGAGCACAATCATGTCTGTCAAGCTTGTAACTTGAGTATTTGCATCTGTTTGTAGGGAGTGATGAATATAGTCCTCATCACCTACAATAAACAGGGAGTTGGACAGATCTGTTAACAGCTAAGCAGAGGATTGTCATGCCCTTTATATCGCTACATTTCACCCACAGAGCCAGGTGAAATGAAAACTGGGTGAGTGAGGGAGAAAAAAAGTAGCTAGTATCTCTCTGGAACAGCGTGTGTTTGGCATGACAGTCCTGACTTTCATGTTTCCTACTTGGAATTGGTGTGGCTCACACCTGTGGATCCATTAACAGCAATACACGTCTATAAATGTGTGTGAGAGGCAGAAATAGTTGCTGAAAACATCTGTTTACCATGTTTCTCTTGTGTATGTGGAACAGATAAAGTCCGATAGAAAATTAATTGGACGGTGCTGATCATTCCTCATGGTTCTCTCATGTGTCCCTCACTTGTTCTGTGGTAACGATGCACATTTGTGTACTTGTTGTGAAGTGTTAATTTTTTTACCATGACCTCTGACCTCCTGCTCTGTTGCCCATGGCAACCACTGTCAGTTAATCGATCCACAAATTCAGAGTGTTTTCATTCAGTCAATCAGTTATTGACCAATGGGACACACACACACACACACAAGGTTTTGGGCCAATCAGGAGTTTTGTTATAGTGACGAGAATAATGAGGCTCAAACTACTGAGGATAATATATATATATATACACACAGTGGGTATGGAAAATATTCAGATCCCCTTAAATTTTTCACTTTTTGTTATATTGCAGCCATATGCTAAAATCATTTAAGTTCATTTTTTTCCTCAATGTACACACAGCACACCAGTCTGTGGTCCTGAGCACTCTGGAGAAGGTTTTCGTCCAGGATATCCCTGTACTTGGCCGCATTCATCCTTCCCTCGATTGCAACCAGTCGTCCTGTCCCTGCAGCTGAAAAACACCCCCATAGCATGATGCTGCCACCACCATGCTTCACTGTTGGGACTGTATTGGACAGGTGATGAGCAGTGCCTGGTTTTCTCCACACATACCGCTTAGAATTAAGGCCAAAAAGTTCTATCTTGGTCTCATCAGACCAGAGAATCTTATTTCTCACCATCTTGGAGTCCTTCAGGTGTTTTTTTAGCAAACTCCATGCGGGCTTTCATGTGTCTTGCACTGAGGAGAGGCTTCCGTTGGGCCACTCTGCCCTAAAGCCCCGACTGGTGGAGGGCTGCAGTGATGGTTGACTTTCTTTGACTTTCTACAACTTTCTCCCATCTCCCGACTGCATCTCTGGAGTTCAGCCACAGTCATCTTTGGGTTCTTCTGTACCTCTCTCACCAAGGCTCTTCTCCCCCGATAGCTCAGTTTGGCCGGACGGCCAGCTCTAGGAAGGGTTCTGGTCGTCCCAAACGTCTTCCATTTAAGGATTATGGAGGCCCCTGTGCTCTTAGGAACCTTAAGTGCAGCAGACATTTTTTTTGTAACCTTGGCCAGATCTGTGTCTTGCCACAATTCTGTCTCTGAGCTCTTCAGGCAGTTCCTTTGACTTCATGATTCTCATTTGCTCTGACATGCACTGTGAGCTGTAGGGTCTTATATAGACAGGTGTGTGGCTTTTCCTAATCACGTCCAATCAGTATAATCAAACACAGCTGGACTCAAATGAAGGTGTAGAACCATCTCTGGGATGATCAGAAGAAATGGACAGCACCTAAGTTAAATATATGAGTGTCACAGCGAAGGGTCTGAATACTTATGACCATGTGATATTTCAGTTTTTCTTTTTTAATAAATCTGCAAAAATGTCAAAAATTCTGTGTTTTTCTGTCAATATGGGGTGCTGTGTGTACATTAATGAGGAAAAAAATGAACTTAAATGATTTTAGCATATGGCTGCAATATAACAAAGAGTGAAAAATTTAAGGGGTCTGAATACTTTCCGTACCCACTGTAAATAAATATACATATATATATATAGTGTTAACAATTGTTGTGACCAACACAGTAATGATAACAACTCTATGACTATACCTTTTATTTTTTGTTGACCCGTGTTAGTTCTCTGTTGCAGAGCTTATGAGAGAGATTAGTCCAGGTATGGCACTTTCCACCAGTGTGACAGTGCTACATGGATACACTGCTTCCATAGAGACCTTCAACAACACACACCCTCATGCAGAAATACAAAAGCATTTATAGAGGCAACAGCTTCTATAAATACTTTGTATAAACAGCTGCTTGACTTGATTTAAACATAATACACACTGTAAATCATTACATTAATTTGTACTGCAGATTTTGGACAAGGTGTTTTTGAGTGTTAACACAAACATAACTAAATATCTGTTTCTTTCAGATAACATAACTAAAAATGTACAAGATGTAAGTATGGTCACATGATTCTGTTGCTGTTAAAGCTGAATACAGCAACACAAATTAAGTATTAGGTGAATTATTCTCTTGCAGTTTGGACAGCACAAAGAATCACTGGTGCCAATCTGACCTCCATGGAGGACCTGTATACCTCATAGGTTAAGAGGAGGAGGAAACCTCTCACACCCTGGTCAAAAAGTCTCTGAACTCCTCCCCTCTGTACAGCACTACAGGACATTATATGCCAAAACAACCAGACACAAGGACAGTTTCTACCCCCTCGAACCCAAGACTGCTTGACAACAACTGAACAACAATTGAACCACTGCAGTTACCAGGTTGAAAGCTCTCCTGTATATAAATTTACAGACACAGTTTCTCCTTTTTGATTGTACATTGCACATTTCCTATTCCCTGTTTTGTGTGTGTATGTGTGTGTGTGTGTGTGTGTGTGTGTGTGTGTACAACACACTGAGAGCCTCTGCACCAGAGTCAAATTCCTTGTATGCTCAAACATACTTGACCATTAAAGATGATTCTCTTTCTGATTATTGGTGAAATTGCTTTTTAAATGTACGTGAAGCTAAATTTGCCTTTTAGGAGTTCAGCTGTGTAGAATAGTATTAATTTGTCAGTAACACTGCAGGCATACATTAGTGAGTAATACTAAGGTCAAGGGTGCCTGAGTATTGTGGAGCTTGGTGACCTGGTGTACTGCAGCTTAGTGTAAAAGGAGAGCATGAAAATGAAAATCTTTCATTTTTTTTTTTTTTTTTTGTGGTGTAGAGACTTGTATCATATTTCTCCATAGAGAATAAAAGTTCCACCCTGAAAATAATGTCTTGAATTCTGTGTGAGGATGCAGTGACCTCCCTGATTGACCCCATTTGCAGACAGGAAGCCTACATAGTGTATTTTATGGATGACTTATGGAAGGGTTCTCTTATTGACAGTTTGAAAGATATGACAAAGTTGACTAGAGGAAGTTTTATTTTTAGGAGACTTGGCTAAAGGAGCACTGGGCACACAGAGCAGCTGTACTTGGAAAGACCATTGAGCAGGCTGGTTTTTGGCATAGGGAGTCTACCCAGTAGTAGTAATTCTCTAGTAGTTTTGCAGTAATTTGTAATAACTTAATTGGATAACCTGTTTTTAATACTAATCTAGTGCAATTTTCAAAACTCCACAATGATGAATTTCATGTAATTTCAAGATTACTTGAACATCTTTAATCTAGAGAAACAGTCTTCTAAAAACGTCTGGTATGCTTTGAGAAAGGGTTTTTGCCATATTGTAATTTGTAGTTTTCTTACTGGTGTCCTGTTCCTGACGGTGCCATCTTTGAACAGCTGCACTATGGATTTAGGAGTCAGGGAACTCTCTCAAGACACATAAGCAAATGTAAGAACAGGATTAGGAGGACTAGTACTAATAGGTCACAGTACTCAGCCTCTATATTCTTTAGCTTTCATTCTCTTAACTGCCATCCCCCTCTTGCATGTTCTTGGTTTCTCCTTCCAAACTAGTCACCTCTCTCTCTCTGCACCTGATGCTTCATCAGCCTCACTAAACCTCTCCCTCCTTTTTTGTCAATATGTATCCTTTGACCAAGCAGCTCCATCAGTTTTTGGATCTCCTAAGGTGACCCCAAAAGTTGCTACTACCCAGTAGCTTTGAGTGGGACCTACTGTACCTATAACATTAAACTTTTACCTTGTTTTTGCCAGTGGTGAAACATTGTATTTACATTGAAACAATGCAACTTTTTACAGAAGGAATAACACTTCCCTCTACCCAATAAATGAATAAAAACACAATCTTATGAGGGCTACATTTAGCTAATTTTAGCTATACTTGAGAAGGTAAATATTGTCCTATTATTAACATTTTGATGACTTTTGTTGTTTCAACTACTTCTGCTAGTGTTGCATTGTTTTAGAATTAGCATAATCTTTGAATTGTCACTTTGGGCCACAGTGGCAGCTGTTTCATAAAAGTTACATTGGCTAATTCTAAATAATATAGACTGTGCCACAGGTTTATGTAGCAATGTTAGAGAAAACATTTTTCAAAAGTTACATAGTCTTGCTTCTTATTACATCCTGGTATTTTTGTTTAAAGTTTAAAGACTACTACTCAGTCCCAACACTTATTATGCATTGTGAATGTTTTCAAAGTGCACAAAAGCCCAGACTGTCATAGGTACTAGCTGTTGTGGGCGTATTGTGATTGTGTCAGAGTGGGAAAATGCATTAGTGATGTTTGACCAGCAAGCTGACTCTGATAAAAACAGTGGCTATGTGTGCCTCCTGTACCACTGTGTAACAGCTTGACCCCTTTTTTCTAAATCACCCAGTAAGCAAAGAATGAGAAAACAGTCTACATACTTTGAGTGATATTGTAAACACCAAATGGCTATATTTAGAAATTAACACATAATTCAACCCACAACGGATTATATTTACAATTTTACAAGAAAAGACTGAATTAGAAAACAGATTAGTAAATAGCTCAGTTTACTTATTTCAAAATTAAAATACAAACACTATTTTTTATTATGCATAAACACTTAAACATTATCAAAATGTAAAGATATTATTGCAGTGCAAAGAAAGTTCCAGTATATTTTGTCTTTCATGAGTGAGAATTCAATTTTCACTTCCTCAGTAAACCCAACATTTTTCACCTTGTGTCTCCATCTTTGTTGGCCACTCTATGGTCATGATTATGCAGATTTCCATGACATGGAAGACTTCTTTCATTTCTGCTTGTACTATTGCAGATAGTGTGGTACTTCCACCTGAAAAATGACAATGGTATATCAGTTTTATATGCAGGTCATACAAATATTTTTAAGACAATAATGCTTTTTTATGAGATACCATATGATGGTGTATAAAGCTAGGAATGAGAGGGATGGGAAGAGTCACTTGTTATCCCTGCGTAACATCAAAATGTTAGCAATTACCACTTCTGAGCCATAATTACAAGAATGTAGTTTTAAAACTGCAGTTGCTGTGAAAGGGCTTCTTTTCATTACAAGGAGTTTAGCAAATTTATTGTGGTTCATTTTTTCTGGTTGTTAGCAGTCCACACTAGTCAGACTGAAACTTTCATCAGCTGTGAAATTTTCATGTTGCATCATTATGTTCAAGCAAGTTGATAAAATAGTTTTACATTTTATGAAATATGCTTTCTTGACAAGCCATATAGTAAGATCAACAGCACTTTCATATCTGCTAAGCTAAGATCAGCTAACCTTAGCATCATATAAACACTGGAACCAGTTAGATAACACAATTTGGGTATTTGTTTAACTAAAGTGTAAAATTAAGGCTGTGTTTGTAAGAGATTTAGTATGTTAACTATGACCTCAATACTAAATATATAATTGAATTGATACATTTATGCCAATTTCACCAAAAACTGAAACAATTTAAACTTCATAAACAGATGTTAAGGCAGAAGTGTTGTACTGAAGTGCATACAATTGTACAGGTGTACCTAATAAAGTGGCTGGTCAGTGTATGTGGCTATGGTACAGACATGTTTGTTCCTACTTGTCATTTTGCTTTCATAAATGTATTATCATGATATTTTTCAGAGCTCAAAAAAATTGGCCCTGTCTATCTATCTGGACATTATATCAACTCTGTCCTCAGTGGTGTCAAGAAATGAAGTGTTTGTTGCCCATTTTGTTGTATGTGTGTTTGTGTGTGCTGTGGTGTCATATCTGTCTTTATCAAAGCTCCAGCGAACAGCTTCTATAAATACCTGCGCTAAGTGGCAGGAATTTCACAGCTAGGAGACCCCACCATCTGAGGGCAGAGCTGATTTTCCACTCTAACAATGTAACAAGCTGTGCTAAAAGCGTCAGCCAAAGTAATGCTCTCGTCAGACAGAAAATGGCAAGCACTCAAAATAAGCACGCAAAAGCACAGTTCAGGCATACTTTACACGTCCCTCTTGTAAATGTATTTGTCTTACTGTCTGTTTTCCATCCCTCTTTCATTCTTTCAGAATCAGAATCAGAATCTGCTTTATTGGCCAGGTGTGTCAGACACACGAGGAATTTGGCTCTGGTGCATCGGCTCTTTGTGTCAGTTTATCTTCTTTCCCTCTGTGAGAATACTTATCTGGTTTGGTTGACATTATTTTTGGCTGTATGTTGGCCCATCTTTATCTCTGTGTGTCCCTCTGTCTAGCTGTGGTGGCTTGTATAGAGTAGACATAGAACACACCATGTCAGCCACAGAGATGACTCAGACACCACTGACTTTGTGTCGTCCTCATCTAAAATAAAGCCTCTACTTGTTTAGTTTGCCTGTAGAAGCCCTCTGCAATTTTGCAATAAGCACATTGCTCAACTGCTTGTTGTTGTAGTGTTTCACTCAGCAGATTGTGAAATAATCCAGACTCAACTGCATACAGTATTTAGTGGACAATACAACTGATACTGCTGCTCATAACAAGACTGGAAATGAAATGAAATGAAAAGCAAATTTTGACTATTAGATAAAAAGTGTGTTCTTGTTGCATAAATCCTTCTACTCACCCGTTTCAGGCTGCGGATGTTGCTGTTGCGGATGGACTCCATCAGCTGGTCATGGGCTGACCTCATTGGTGTGGACGGCCTGCTACTCTCCTCCCCTCTCCTCTCCACTGACACGGGCCTCAGTGCATTCTTGAGCTCCTTCAGGATGCTGCTCGTCTCATTGTCTGTCCTTGACTCCTTCCCCTTTCCCTTCTTGCCTTTTTTCCCTTTTGTTTTTGTCAGCTTCCTGCTTCCCGCCTCATGTGCCTTGATGACCTGAGCGATCATCCTGGTGGGCTTCTTCTTCTCCCGCTGTAGGGGAGGAGGTGGCGGTGGAGGTGGCGGTGGAGGTGGGGGAGGAGGAGGGGGAGCAGGAGGAGCCTGTTTTATAGCCAGGTCACTCCGGGTAAGTTTGGGTGAGGACCAAGGAGAGTTATAGGGTGATGAACTGGGTGTACCTCTCTAGAGCCAGACAGGAAAATACAGTAGATCCTCATAAATACATGGAGCATTATTCTGAAGACAGGGTTCTTGCTTGGACTGAAAAATGCACGTGTAAACGCTAGGCAGATTAAAATGTTGTAAGTGATTTTCGGTTTGCATATGACATGTTGTTCAGGAGTACAAATGATTTCAGGTTCCATACCAGTGCAGTAGTTCGGGGCTTCACGGCTCCCTCTGTCACCCCCAGTTGCCCCTGTTGTTTCTGCCTTTGCTCCTGTAGACGCTTTTGTCTTTGACGATCCTGGTTCCTGGTGAGGATCCCTGTCATGCTCATTCTGGGACCTGGTAAATTGAACTGGTAACCCAGCCTGATCAAAGTGTAGTTTTCCCTCAGAATCTTAACCATTTCCATCTCTACCTGTAAGAGTTGGTTGCAGACAAGAAAACCTGTTAACCAGGGTATTGTTTGCACAGAGAAAGATGGTTTGTTTGATTATGGAAACTAAACAGGTTGAGATGAGAACTAACCTGTCCTCCACACATGTGTCTCTGGTTTTGGAACCGAAGTTCAGTCAGAGTGTTGTTCCCTGGAAGTGCTTGAACCAGGGCCATCACACCCTTCCCAGTCACATAGTTGGATTCTATATTCAGACTAGTGATGGATGAGTTTTCCCTGAGCATCTTAGCAATGGCCAAAGCGACAGGGTCATCCGCTCGGGTGTTCGCAAGGCTAAAGACCCGCACATTTGTGTTGGACCTCAGTGATTCTGCAAATCTGATGAGGGTTTCCTAAGAAGTAGGTAACAGTCATTACATTTTCAAGAACATAAGAGAACTTCTTAACATGAATGCATATACTCTAGAATATAAACTGACAAAATATATAGCACACTAAACAATCCCTTTAGTGTTTTTGCAGTTTTTCCATGCCAGATACAGGTCTGTATTTGTACCTGTGAGATATCGTCAATGTTGTTGAGATTAACCTCTGTGAGTTCAGGATCATTATTAATAACCCGCTGCAGAGCGTCATCAACAACAGTTGGGTTTCCGATGGTGTTGGTGTCAGCAGGTGGAGGTGGGGGAGTCAGTCTCATAGGCTCCACCCTCTGAGGTTTTAGTAGCTTTGGGGTGTCAGCCCACGATGTGTCCTGACCACAGTCCTTTATGGGTTCAGGTGTTGATTTATTATTTTGTTCTTCCTCCTCCTCATCATCTTCTTCCTCTTCTGTCACAGCTTGCTCCTCTTCCTCACTCTCCTCAACTCCTTCTTCTTCTTCTTCTTCATCCTCATCCTCCTGTTCCTCTTCTTCTTCCTTCCTATTATACATTTTCTGTTCTTTCTCATTTTCATCATCTTTGTCATCGTCTGCTTCACTGTCTCCTGTTACACACTCCTCCTGTTCTTCATCCTGTATTTTGACAGTTATTCAATGTTTGAAATGCAGTATTGTAATCATCAGTATTTGACTTCTTTAAAACTTGAATAAAATATACATACTGTAAAGCTACATTAACACAGATGATTTAAAGAGAGCTGTAGAAACATTAGTGATTCGTTATGTTTTCCTTACTTTTAGTACTTCCTGAATTCCATCTAATAACAAACAAGCTAGTTTTGCCTCTGGCACATTTACCAAATGCTAAGCAAATCTAAAATAAATACCATCACTGACCGGTTTGGGCCTTCCTCCACCCATCTCATCCTCCAAAAGTCTACGTGTCTCATTTTCCCAATACTTCATGAGGGCCTCTCTGCTGAAGGTGCCTGTTGGAGACTTGTCGGTCTGATCCCTTTGTCTTAGTCCTATGGGCACATTGGCATCAGGATCAATGTCCGCCAGCTCTTTTTCCAACTCAGCCAGCTCCTCAGGACTGAGAGAAGCCAAAAGCTCATCCTCATCGACGTCTTCGTACTTACTCAGCTCTCGACGGTACCCAAAAAAACTCATGGCCAAAGTATGACGTATGAAGACAAGATAGAATTAGTTTAAACTAACAAAGAAAGACCAGTTTTTTAGTTGCATATGATATAGTGTAGACCCCAAAATAAAGGTGAAGTTTGTGGATTGAGATCACAACAAAAGATAAGTTCCTCTGCGGTTGCTGAAGATCCAAGGATATTAGGGGACTGGAAATTGAGAGTCCAGTCAAGGAGATCCTTGCCAATGAAAGTGATTGGACATACTTGGTCTAGTTAAAAGATGCTTCTGGTGAGCGCCTACTCCGGTTTGAACCAGATATGCCCTGGCCAGCCAAGATAATGTGAGGGTGAGAGTGTGTGTGTTGGTGTCCTCTCCTGCACTAATCTCCTCAGCTGCTGTTTGGGCCTTAAGAGAGGGATCAGAGAGGAACGTACCATGTGGGCCCCATGATGTAGCGTCTTTTTTTAGGAGGCACTGTTCTGACAGACAGATCCACAAAAAGAATCTGAGCTCAGAGACTGTGTGGCCTGTTAGTGTAACCAAGGCCAGGGTGGCTTTGTTCATGGCCAAAATAGACCATTGGGATCCAACAGATACACAAACAAAAAAAATAAACAAAGAGTAATGAGGAAAAGATAATTGATAGGGGTTTGGATGTGCTGTTAAGAGTTACAGATTTTTGCAATATGTGACCTTTAGACAGTAGTATCATCTGAAATTTGTACTGTTTTTTCGGTTTGGTTTTTATTTTTTCCCCTGACTCATTAACTGCCTAATTTTTTGTTGCTTAACTTCACAGTTATGTTGATAATCTCTTTTAAATTTTAGGTCAGGCTGAGAGCAGGTTCACTCACCTGGAGGTTTTAGAATGCAAACCTGCAGTGCCACTAATCTTACACTAGCATACACTTACATTCAGAGCACATGTGTAAACTCTTCTACATACAGACACCTGAATAGCTCATCACGCCAAATCTCTACCTGTCTGGAACTCAGGATGTATTGTTAGAACATTGTGCTGATATCAAACAGCTCGTACCTCTGTTTGGTAATCTGGTGCTGAGTGACAAGTTATTCCCAATCCCAGCAAATACTAGATGTATTAACATACACACAGAAAGAAAACACTTGTTGTTTTGCTGATTTCAACTTTAGCTAGTAATTAAACATCCCAACACACACAGCAAAATCATTTTCAAAAATAGTTAATTACAACATTTTGAAGCATTCTGAGAGTATATTGACTATACAAAGTGTGAACAAAACCCAGCATGAAGTGAGAACATTGTTGCCTGCCCACACAGATGCTTTCCCTCATATTGCCTAATTAGACCTCTTCTCTGGACTGTGTGGGTGTGGACATACTGTGCTCGACTGACATTTAACAACAACTACAACCTGAGCAGAAGTCCAATTTGTGAGAAAAAAAAAGTGTGACACATATGCTATACGTGCATTTTTACTTGTATTAGTGGTAACCATATCAAAATGTATATATCTGCAATGTAGTCTAGAATATAAGTATGACACAAAGCGAAAAAGACAACTAGCAAAGCAACTATGTTATCATTTTTATCCATAATCTGCTGTATCAGTTCAGGAATGCATTGGGATTGATTTTCTGACTTATCACTGTTCATTTAAACAAAGTAGATGAAACATGTATGTTCCTTTTGTGGCACATTAACGAAATAGTGTTCATAAAACGAGTCAAAGTCACAACTACAAGCAAGGCACTCTGGCTCTTGACATATAAAACTTAACACATTAGATACAAACTACACTCACCAGCCACTTTCTTAGGTACACCTGTATGCATATTCAGTGCAATACTTCCACCTTAACATCTGTGTTTATGAAGCTCAAAATGTTTCAGTTTTTGGTGAAATTGTCATAAATGTCTAAATTCAATTATATGTTTATTATTGAGGTCATAGTTAAAGGTGGTGTTGTACTGGACTATATTCAGAGGTGTCTCTATATTTTTGTCCTCCTGGCTGCATATGTAAAAGGGTCAGAATATTAGGAACACCTCTGAAATATAAACACAGATGTGAAAGCAGAGGTGTTGCACTGAACTGCATACAATTGTACGGGTGTACCTAATAAAGCGGACGGTCAGTGTATATTGCCGTTGGATAATTTTTAAGAGTGACTAGTGCTTTTCCATTATGACTGTTTAAAATGTAAACTGTCTTTCACGTAGAGGAGAGGTTACTGTACAGGTCATACTCTCTGTAGGTCAGGTACTTCTTCAGTCGCGGAGGAAAGGGGACAGCAGCCATGGCAGCAGGGTTATTCAGCACCCTGAGGCTCATGAGACCTCTGATTACTAGTCGACACAAGTGCCGCAGGGACCGTGGCTTGCCTGGGGACAAAACAACCTCTTAAATCAACCTTTTCAAATGTAACCCAGCCTTATAACATAACTTTTTTAAAGAAATGAGTGAGCAGTATTACTCAGTATGTCAGAAATCTCATCCCACTCAGGCCTCCTCTTCAGGATGCGTTTGAGGTTGCGACAGATGTTAACATGGCTGACATAATCCAGGAGGATTCTCACCACACTGCCAACCAGATGTGTCAGCCAGGACACTGACACAAAGTCACAGAACTGAAGGACAAAGTAATTTACTTTATATATTACAGTATAATATGATTAATGAATCATTTATTTATATGGATTTTATAGCAGATGAATATATGTGCCTGGCTGTATTGGCTCTTACTGAGACGATATTACGTTGACTGTAAACCTGGTAAACATGGTTATGGAGGTCCGTCCAGGTATTATTCACTTCTTCACTGTTACCATGGCTACACTGGAAACACCTGCAAGGGACATGGTTGCAGACATATTACCAGCTCTTCTGTTTTATGAGAATCAAATTTGTTAACTCTGTTTTAGTTTTCCAATAAAGAAACATACTTGTGAACTTGATATCCACTGTTAAGCAGTAGTCGCAACATGACGTGGTCCCTCAGGCAGTACTGCAGGGCTGTGGGGAAAACTGTGTTGCTGATCACTCTGAAGTAACAGTTCACATCTGCTCCATAGGACAACAACAGCTGCACCAGCTCATACCTGAACACAAAAGTCAAACTTTACTGTAAGACAGCCCTGCCACCACCATATAAACTTATGTAGCTATGAATAAAGACACACCTTTCAGATCGTATTGCAATCAGGATACATTGTAGTGGGTCCAGGTCAGTTCTTGCTCCAGCTGCCAGTAACATCTCTGCACAGGTCACATCACCACTGGAAACCGCAAAGTACAGAGCAGTTTTTCTGAGGTCGCTGTAGTTCTCTGCAACAAGATTTACAAAACATCAGTGGACAAGTTCCTTAAAACCAGCTAAAAATATAGATTTTGATTGTTGTTGCATGACCTAACTGGAAATTTTACAACTTTGGAAAAGTCCTGCTATAGCTGGTGCTCTACTCTCAGATTGTATCGTCCCCTGTACATATATGCACACATCTCTGCCTTACCAGAGATGTGTGTGTGTAGCAGGGCGTTGACATCGTATCCTGTCTGTATAAGCAAGTCCAGACACTCAACCTGTCCCCCGTCTGCTGCCGAGTGGACGGGGCTCTGGCCTGAGAGATAGATGGCTTTCTTTGTGGTGATGGGGATGAGAGTCCTCAGGGCTCTGCAGTCAGAGAGCGTGGGAGAAAAAGAGAGGGGGGAGACAAACAGGAAGAGTGTAATGGACAGAAACTGTGAAAAACAAATGCTAGAAGAAAACAGGCCATAGAGAAAAATGTTCACTGGATTGTGGTTTGAGATACAGTGTTATTCAGTGATAGAAGTGAAAAACAGTGATAAACAGAAGCCTCTTTGTGGGAATGACTACAGTGAAAACACTGCACAACTGTGAGGTGGAGAGATAGGCATGTTTCAAGCTACAGCTTGGTCAATTTGGCTGCAAAATAGGAGGAGAGGAATGTTAATTGGTTAAGCAATTTCAGGATCATCATTTTAAAACTGTGATATCATTTTGGCATGAGAATATTGCCATATCTAGCATGTAAAAATGACTGGCTGCTGTCTTAAAAACACAAAGATTAACTCACAGTATGTGTCCTTCATATGCAGCTCTGTGGATGGGCAGCTGGCAGGCATAGCTAGCCACATTTGGGTTGGCTCCATACTTCAGGAGCAGCTTGATACAGTCCAGATTCCCTGATCCAGTTGCATCATACAAGACTGTGTCCCCATTGCAGGCCTGGGTATTCACGTCACCACCTGGGTAATGTAACGGGCTGACTAGTTGGAGAGATTTTGTGGTATTCCAGCATTGTACATTTGTAACCAAAGGGCTTCTTAACACCATTTGAGCATTTTACCATGTTGTATGAGTATATCCAGCACTTCTGTGTTGCCATATTCAGCTGCGATCCCCAGAGGTGTTACCCCATGTCCATCTTGAGCACTCACTTTGGCTCCATGTCGAAGGAGCAGCATTAGAATGGCTGGACAACCCACCTGGTATGAGAAACAGGAGGCAAGGAAATAAAGAAGAAAGCAAAAACGGAGGAGGAGAAGTAATGAGATGTTGGGCTTTAACTCTCTCGTGTTCTAGCGCCTGTCATTGCTGTGCTGTTCACCTTTGCAGCTTCATGGATGGCCGTCCACTTGGTGAGACACACCTGCTCAACAAAGGCTCCACTCATTATGAGGGCTAAAACCATGTCATATGATCCCTGTCTCACTGCTGCAAAATGTAGAAAATACAAGGCGGTATTGTAAAAAGCCATGCTAATGAAGGTTTTATTATTAATGACAGAATGACAGCTTATCCTCTAGAGGAGAGGCTGTACAGCTAATGGATGGGTGGATGGATTACAGCAGTTACTGATGTTTAACAAGAATCTACAACCATGCTAGCAGCATTTAGACTGTACAGGAATAACAGTGTTTGAAGTACATACTAATGTCATCTTGCATATAATGACTATCATGTTCACCAGCTTAGTTTAGTTTGTCAGCCTCCTAACATTTTCTAATTCATCTTATATTAGGACAATATACAGCAACCAAAATTATAAACCTTTAATGTGTGTTCACAACCTGAACAGAATCTGCTTAATTAATGAATGATAATATCCATATAATCAATTCATATTGGTATTAATTTTGTATCCATACATGTTTGAATCTAACTCTGTTTAACAATATGCTGTTAATGAGGGACAAGTGACTATGTGACCGACTTGTGCTTGTGTTGAGTTTGTGTGTGTGTGCTACCGATGAGCAGAGGAGACTCGTTGCTGCTGTTGGTGTTGTGTGGTGAAGCTCCGTGCTTCAGCAGCATCTTGACATTTTCCACCATGCCAGCCTCTGCTGCCAGAGTCAGAGCTGTGTCCCCATCCTCCGTCTGCTCCTCCAATGTCAGGTCTGTGGATGTCAACACTGCTACAGAAATACCATTTAGAGTGTGGTAAAGTGGAACAAATGCACTGTCTACTGAGATTCAAACTTATATCTACCTAAATGGCTGGATCAAATCACAGATGCTAAATATTCCACTGTTACTCTTTTGCACTGAGCTCTCACCCTGCAGCACCACATGCAGGATCCCTTTCTGGGGCTGTATAGCTGCAGCATGCAAAGGTTGCCGGCCTCTTCTGTCACTCTCTCTGAAGGCAGACACACAACCTGAGAGCTCCTGCAGTGCATACACATCACCTGTGGAGACACAACCAAGACCCACACAGGATGTACACAGGGAAACATTTGTAATTCTCATGGATAACAGTGAGTTCATGCACCTGCACCCACAAAAATAAACATGTATATTTACTTGTAGGTGATTCTGCCTAATGCAACTTTACTTAATTTTGCCCATTATGCTACATGCTACATGCACATTTTCTTGTGCTAAAACAGTGAGAGTTAAATTAGAACTTACCTTTGTGAATAGCTGCCATGATCTTCATAAAGTCTTCACTGTTAGGTTCCTTTCTAATGAACAAAGGTTGAACAGTGGGTCAGACTAAATATTTTACTGTTATGTTATAGAGCTTCATAACAGTATTGGGGTGGATTACACTTAATTAATTGAATTCAGGATTTCCTGTGACTCAGGAATCTACACGTCTCTTATAGGATCTGATCACTACTCCGTCAATAAATAAGAGGAGATTACAGAGGTACTTTTGATAAGAACCCCCATCTAAAACTCAAATCATTTTGTACAAGTTAGACTCTGTCATACCTGTTTGTTTGCACTGAACATGACAGCTTGTAGGTATCTTGAATGCTCTCTTGAATGGCACACTCAATCAGTTCCTCATTTAGGGCTTCCTGATCAAAGTCCCCCATTTCTATATCAAGGAACAAAATGACAGGCATGTGCTTCCTTGCATATACTCTGCTTTCTTTGCCTGATTAATTTGTTGTAAGAAAAAAGAGCTCTGTCCCATGCAAGTAACTTATTAAAGTCACATCTGTCTGTTCTTTATGCTGTGTCCAGTGCTACAGATACTGTCTGTGACTTGTAAAGTGCTCCTGACACTTTCACATGCTTAAAATGGCATCATATTTGAGTAAAGTATAAATCTGTCAAATCTGAGATTACGCTACACAATTAGATATTTCATGTTAGTCATTTCCTCACCTCTTGATCTGAATGTGTTCCCTTGAGCACTTCAGTTCACAGCCTGTGTGTTTTTGTTTTGCAGGGTCCTGTGTCTGTCTAGGTTATATTTAGATGTGACCTGCTTCAGATGACCAGACTCAACTCAGAGTTTGCCTGTCATGTTTTCACCTCCAGCTCCAGTGAACAAAGTTACTGTGACTTCACTCAAATCATCACACATTACACATCTACACATTATATAACATAACAGTTATCTCAAATGTTAAATGTAGGACACCTGCTTCTTTTTTCTGAATCTTTTCCTTTGTGAGTGATATTGATTTGATAATGTAAATCAATTGTAAATAATGGCTTTGACATGAATTCACTTAATCAGTGTAAGTAATGAGGAGATTTTGCAACTAAACATCTGCACATCTACAGTACACATACACACTCAAGCAATTCACTAACACAAGTGTATTTTTGAGACAAAATATAAACCAAATAATATAAAATTAAATATGTAATAGATAATAATAACTAAAAATGACAATGAACCAAACAATGTGGTTGAATACCTGAACCACCCTCAGTTTAGGACCCCAAACCCACCATATCATAAAAACATTGTATTTACACTTTTGAAACAACAGCTGGGGCAATAACCTTGACATATTCTAAGCGAAATATTCCCTTGAGTGAACAAGCACCCACTTTCTCCTAACAAACAAATTGATATGTGGGAGTTTATGGAAAAAGTCTCAGACAGCGTCAGTGTGTGACACAGTGAGTCAGCCTGTAGGCGGCCTCTCTACCACGTAAAAGACTTCACCAATCTGTCTAGAGTGACAGCAGACTGCCAGCCCCATCCTCAAGTTTCACTACACGCTTGGACATCACACACATAGACACACACACACACAGAAATGAGCTCTATCTTTGAAATGAAAACACTGAATTTTATGCACTGGATTTGAGCAACCTCAGGCTCTTGCTCCATATGAGGAAGAAAGTAAGTATTATACTTTTATTTTTTGTGTTATTTACACAGCTAGTTGGTCTGATTGTGTGATGTAAATGCATATTTGTATTCAGACTAAGAATTTTCAATTTTTCTTTCTATTTGCTGAACTACTGGCATTGAAATGCAATTGTATACATTCAGAAAAGGATTTTACTGTTTGCATTGTATTTAAGAATGCCTGCTGATTTTTCATTTTTTTTCATCACAAATCAATTTCTGTGATATTTAAAAATTTACCTTAGAGTTAAAATTAAAAGCATTCATAATGAGGAAGGTTTCTTTTCAGAATTGCATTTTATTATGTTAATAGGTTCATATTAGTGCTGTACTGCTGGTGTTGCACCCATTTAAAAGGGGAGTAAAGTGAAAGGACACATGGACACCGTATGCTTTCACTCAATATACTGAATAAAAATACTAGTCCAACTGCATACTCACTTCTTTCTGCTGGCAGAAAATTTTAATGAGATCCTTTTGATGTGTATGCAGTCTGTCTGCCGAACTGGCAAATCTGAAGTCCAACAGTTCATCAAAGTGCAGCTCAATGTGTATTTGGTGTTTAAATTTGATACTTTTAAAGGTACCTAAAAGTCTTTACAGCTGTCATATACACTGTATTAGTTACTTCACACTCATGCATTTATTCCTGCACAGTGGGTCTTTTCATGTATATGATAAATGCATCCACTGTCCATATACTTTGTATTTTGGATTAGGGCTGCAACTAACAGCTAATTTCAATATTGATTAATCAGCTGACTATTTTCTTGATTAATTAATTATATTAAAAGCAATATGTTGCACACATGTTGGTTTTTTTGTGCTTAGAAATTAACCCAAACAATTAAGTCATCATCAAAATAGCTACAGATAAATTTGCATTTGATGCATTCCATTGATTCAATGACTAATCATTAATGCCATATTTTAATGAGATCACAGCCTTGCTAATGGAGGATATTTGAGATTCAAGCATTTGAGAAGTGTACTATCAAACCAATGTGAAGAATATATTTCAAACAAATATAAATAAATCCTAGTTCTTCTTTTTTATTTACATCTTGTTTTAGTTAAAAACAAGATGTGAAATTGCAACAAGATAAAATGTACTCTCCCTCCTCCCTCTACCTATACAGCAACTACTACACAAGCATAATATGCATGGACACAGAAAGAGAAAAAATAATTAATTAATTTAGGAAAACGATGGGTAGTTGAGTGTTAATTCTTTTGGAATTTGCATTGAGTTAATAAAATGTTAAAGCTATGAGGATGTCCTTGAGTGGAGTAGAATTAAGAATTAAGGGAAGTAAATTTGTCAGCATCAGGGAAAGAAAAATAAGTAATAAATGGACCACAGATAGAATGGAATCTCTCTGCCTTATTTTGTCAAGTCTGTCTAGTTTTTCAGGATGCAGGCAGCTCTGATTTCTTATCCAGTGAATGTAAGAAGGCAGTTGTGTAGATTTCCAAGCTATGAAAATACAAGGGTGTCTTTCACCTGTGTCAGTGGAAACTTAGTTCAAGCACTATAGTGTACACTGGATCCTCTTTTTGAGAAATATATCATGCATGTGTACATGCTTTTACTGTTTTGTATTCAAAAGTTTCTTAATAAGTATTAGCCAAATTTAATGTTTTAACTTGAAATGATGCACAGTTCCTACAGTTTCATTTTGTAAGTCTCCCCCAGCAGGACCATCCTCCTTGCAATAGTAACGCAATAAATACATAAATATTATGAAAAGATTAACTCAATTAATAGCTTGACAGATATTTAAAATTTGATTGGTTTATTATCTGCTTAAACAGTTTTGCTTCAGAGCCCTGTGAGTGAGGCTTCATAACAGGATTAAAGTGAGTTGAGGTTATGCTGAATTAATGCTCTGAAGTCAAACACCACTGTCATAAATTCATTGTTACACTATAATAAATACAATAGACTTTATGTGATGTTTAAATACACTGTGAGTTTTATGTTTTCCTTGTTTGCTGTTTAGATCTTGAAAGCTCCTTGTCTCCTCTTGAGTCTATTCACCAGTTTGAATATCTGCTCTGGAAAATTTGGAGTGCCAATAACTGATGATGTGAGCAAGCTGTCATTATTGGTGAGATTACTGAGTTGCTATGACACTGATTTGGTATTAACTGCTGCCAGTTTTTTATTTTTGCATATGTGCTGTAATTTAAAAAGAGACTGACATTTTTTATGTAAAAATCCTTCTCTCTCATTACCCCTATTGTAGAAGCAGAATATCCCCTCTGATTATAAGATTCCTGTTAGTTTTATTCCCAAAGAAAAGGTAGGTGCTGTAAAAACACCAATAATGAAAAAGTGAAATAGAATTGACATTTGATATAATATTGAATAATGGTTGTTAATTATTTTTAAACCTGAATTTTCAGGCTGGCAAGTGCTGGATGGTCTTAAATATCTATCCTTTGGAGCAAAGTCTTCGGAAGCTGGCCAACATGTTTGGTGCCATCTCCTCAAACAAGGACAACATAATTGTCTTTATTGCAATGCTGAAGAGTTTACGCTTTACCTTTGACCACGAGGAGCTGGTGAGCAATTTCAGTCACAATATACACTTCTGCCTGAGTGCAAACAATAACTGAATGCTGATTTATGATGTATTTGTAGTGATGTATATGCTTTGCCTTGAAATATATGCAAGATCCAGATTGTCTCATTACTTGCATGGGCTTTTTCAAAATTGTTTTCATCAAGCAGATTTTACATTTACCTTAATCAGGGTAAATAACAGGAAGATTGTGCAAATAAGCAGTACAACGCAGTTTTAGGCATGAATTTGTATATCGGTGCTTTGGACATTCAGTAACTGTTTTGCATATTTAACTGCATAACTGAGTTATTTCAGGATTGCTTGTTGTCGGTTTCCCCAGGAAACAGCGATGCAGCTCTTCCAGTGTCACTACCAGGATGCAAGCTTAATGTCTGGTCTTTACTTTGATTACATCAAGGATGTCTTGCATACAGCTGCTCAAGGAACATCCAGCTTCTCGTGCAAGCCACCGCCGTGCCTTAATTCACAACAAACACCAGGTGCGTCAGTCATTTTCATTTATATTTTTAACATGTTTTTTGTTGTGTTTTCATATATTGTGTTGTATTTATTTGTATGCTATAAACCTATTAGTGTATTTTAAAATTTATTTTACTTATGTTTTATGTCAGGACACCATTGAAAATGGAAGTTTGCTCTCAGCTGGTTTTTTTTGTTGGTTAAATGAAGGCTGATGATGATGATAAATGTATGCTGAAAAAAACTAAAGCTTAGTAGACTACTAGTGGGCAGATGTTGATTTTGGGTCAAAGACACAAAGCTACATATATGTAGTTAAAATTTTTATTTCATTTAACATCCCAAACAGGAACTAAAGGGAATATTTCTGAGAAAAAAACAACCCACCTGGAATTAATGTACCTTACTGACTCAGTAAATAAATCCTTTGGGGGTACTGGACAAGCTGCAACTGTGGTCAGTCAAATTTCAAATAACATTTCCTTCTTCCAGGGGGTCGAGAGGAGAGTCGTGAATACAGCTGGCTGAAGAGAACGCCCTTGCTTCTGGCACTCATCCCCTTCACAGCTTGTGTTGTTCTCATAGTGTGGCTGGTAAAAAAAGTGAACCATCAAATTTCCCCCTTAACTCCATATTAAGCCCTTTTATGTGTTAAAATTCATTTTCAGGTAATCAATATGACGATACAAATACAGGCAATACAATACATAAATATTTTTTGTAAGATAAACAAAATAGCCACCAAGCAGGCTGAATTGTCATCTATGTGTTCATTTTAATTTTTACTAGCAGCAGCATCAGGTCAAATTTTTAATTTGTCGAAGGTAAAACTCATGACATTCCCAGCATCAGCTCGAGCTGTATTTTGTGTTATTTGTGCTACACACTGATGATGATAGTAAATACAGGTGCTAAACATTAGCATGTTAGTCTTATCACTGTGAGCATGTTAGCATTTTGACATTAGCATTTAGCTCAATGCACTGCTCCCTCAAAGTGCTTCTAAAAACAGAAATAAAAGGCCTTTGTAAACACATTTATCTCATCATTTAGGTCGATAATTGTTTGACTCTATAAAAGGTCAATTATGGTATGAATGGCAGAAGGCATGAATAGCTTCTATACCACAATAAGCACTTACTTTAATTTCTAAGGTTTCTAAAGACTGCTCATTTTCAGTTTGGTCTTCCTGTTTCCGTCTCTTCAAGGATGAAGTTTTCTGTTGAGTGCCATGTCATAATTAGTTATTCAGAATAGAAAACATACTGGATATACTGTGTATCTGTGTTCCCCAAATTATAGTGGTTTGGTTGTTTTTGGTGATATTATTCATTATGAGAAACCTAAGACTCCAACTACAAAATGTTCTTGCTACTAAATTTTTCATCAGCTACACTGACTCTTGTGCCTTTTGGTCTCTCTGGACCAACCTAATGAAGCCTCCATGTTTTAGGGAGCACTTCCTGGATGCAATTCTTGTAATGTTAACAACTGCTCATCAAATATTCATTAGTTCTCTGAGACTTCCTTATTACCTAATGTAATGATGTCAGCTTTAGAGATTTATTATCTGTCTGTCTGTCTATCTATCTATCCATCTATCATTTGTTCATCATAGAAAACAGGACACATGAAAATAGGTCAGGCTGTGGGTGTGATTTTTTTTCTATTTCTTTTTGATTTTTAGGTCAAGTGTGGAAGCTGTTTTCCAGTGTGCACTGAAAATAGCCAAATGGCACCTTCTGACATGATCCCAACTGTGTCTGTCTCTATCCCACTTCAAACACTCACCCACACTGCTGACACTCAGCCAGCGGGCAAGATGATCCCTGAACATGAAAGTGGATGAAGCATGATTCATAAAGAGGGAAACTTCAGACAGCAGTGTAACAACTTACTCACTTGGTTGTTCTGTTATTGGTAGGAGCCTGCTGGAAAAATAAGTGTGATCTGACACTCTTCCTCTGCTTTCACTCAACTGAGTACCTGGGCCTGTGCTACAACAGACAACTCACCTGCAGTGCAAATGTGTGTAACAGAAAATTCCCCAGGCACTTCTACCACTTAACCATCCAGAGAGATTTTTTGGACCAGAGGACACACTCTCTATACAAAGGCTAGTTTGATGCCAAACTGGCTTATGAAGTACTTAAACTGTCTTGTCTTGGCTACTGTTTAACAGCATATAGCTGGCCTGTTCTGAGCAGACCATGTCAATTTATTGTTCATTCCTGCCACTCTGAATTGGTGCCATTCAGAGTTTTCTGCACTCTAATTTTGAGCTGCAGTACAAAAGGATCACTGGAGCTTTAAATCAAATTGATATCAAACTATTTGGAGGACATAATTTCATTCTGAGATGGGACTCCTGTCATTAACTTGTTGGCTGCATCTTGAAGATTACAGAGCTACACAACATTCAGCACATCCCAACAAGTACATCAGGAGTACGCAAAGAACTACAATACTATCTTGAGAATAACTGAAATGCATCAAAAGTAAAAGAGTGATTGAATAAGTTGCATTTGAGCTATTGCAGCTTGTCTTGTAATTGTTGTTGACATTATTATGATCTGTGATCTGTCACAAATTGCAAACCTGCTTGTCACAAACAGCACGCCAAGCAGTTCAACAAGAGTCCTACTTTGTGTATCAAAGATCTGACCAGATGGCAGATAGCCATCACCAGAGGCACTTTGAATCCCATCATTGTATCTCAAAGCTGTTGCCCAGTGATCTATAGCTGCTGCTTGGGCCAAAGTGAGTGTGTTCAAGTTTTTAATGCCTCATTCACTGAGTCAATCACATTCAGTCATGAGAACATGACTCCCTGAGTGTGAGTGCTGTCGTACTATATGTGTCAGAGAGAGGCAGCAAAAGACAAGACAGTTAGGACGGAGGAAAGTGAGGGAGGTAGGGATAGATGGATGGACGGATGAGCTCAGTGAGAAGCATAAGGAGGGCTTGTTCTTTCAACAAAAGAACTGGCCGTAGGCTGGAGGAAATGCCAGTTACAAACACGACTGATGTTGGCAGATCCCTATGAATCAACAGGCTAAGAATCTTTCCAGACCGCAGGCTATGTGGCCTCATCTACACAGGATAGTATTTCATCTACACAGGATAATATTTCAAATGATTTGCTTCTAAAACACATAAATGCTTATGGCTTATGTGCATTTTGCTCGTTTGTATTCATTTTTGTATTTTGTAAAAATGTGTAGTTGTACTGTATGTGAAATATTTATTTTGTTGCCAGATAAATCACATGGGTTTTAATTAACATTTCCCACAAAAGAGTGTATTTTTAAACTCCTCTTCTTTGCTGTCAAGATGTAAAGGAGGTAGGCAAAATGCTGTGAACACTCAGGGAAAATATTTCATCTCACTTTGAAAACTCACATGTTCACTGTCTGATGTCTAATGACATTCAAATGAATGCCATATGACCCACACTTTCAGTGTAATATTACAGCAATTTACTCTATTTCCATCTCTTATATGAAATGTTTACTTTATTTTGTGTTACTAAATATAAAGGGTTGTTGTTGGAAAACCAGTGAAATCCCAAAAGTCTGAATTTTTCCTTGAGACCATGTTTACAGCAAACCATTCACCTTCTGAAAGAAACAAATAACAATGGACTTGATAAACCATTCTTGGTTTTGAAGTAAAAAGTTTGGACTTTATTACCTATAAGGATCTCAAACAAAAAACAGATTCATGCAGAACACTTTCACATCATCTCCTCAGGCCCCCTGGCTGGAGATGTCATTACAAATAAACATTAAAATAAAATAAAATAAAAGCTAACAGGGTTTTTGTGAATTTTCCCATTGTTGTAGATATTAACTGCACAAATAATAACTGCACCAGTTCAGTGTTTTAGTGATTAAATTTGTAATAACAAAACTGTATATTTGGTTGTCATGATGAATCACAAGGTTAAATGCTTTTGAGCTGGATTTAGTATATTAAATTCTTTCTCATTTGATATTTGCTTACTGTTGTGCTATTAGTCCTTTATGTGTATGTACGTACATATATATATATATATATATATATATGTGTGTGTGTATGTATGAATCCCCCCCTTCGGGACGGTCTTGTATTCCTTCCTTCAAGCTCCGGTCTTCTACCAGAAGCCTGGGAGCTTGAGGGTCCTGCGCAGTATCTTAGCTGAATGCTTTATATGTGTATGTATATGTATATGTGTATGTGTGTGTGTATGTGTATGTGTGTGTGTGTGTAGTGAGTGAAAGAGAGAGAAATATAGGCTGCTCCAAAGCCCTCAACATGGCAAAAACGTCATTGACGATTAACTAAATCATAATCCATATGGCAATTCTTTTCGGTGGTTTCGTTCTTTATTTCACTTTTGAAAAAATGTAGCGCTTTTATTGTATACAAGAACATCCGCCGGAAATATTCACACTTTTGTTTTGGAAAGCCGCTACCCAGCGGTCGCCATTATTCTTCCTTGCTTGACGTTCGACAGAAAGACGGTTAAATACTTTTTAACCTTATACTGCAGTATACATTAAAACACCGTCGACCCACTTTGTGTAGTGAGTTGATTAACTCATAAATCAGCGATACATCTTGTGCAAAAAAATGGAGAAACGGTCTGATACTCAAGGTAAGTTACTAAGCTAACGTTAGCAAGCTAACAGTAGCTGCCGCTGAGAGCGCTGGTCAGAAAATAAAAGATGCAATGTAAGCCGTCTGGTGCAGCAAAGTGGCTATTTCATCAAGTCGCTGGCCAACAGACATGTCGAAAAGTCTGCTAGGTTATTTTTGGGCGCTAACCTTAGCTAACGAGCTTTAGTAAGGACCGTCTGGGGTGTTCGATTTCAATTTAAATCATACATCTTCCGGATGCACTAATCGGCCTTTAGAACGTGTACTATCACCTACGATAACTCCCATAATTTTATAGTTTACAGCCCACGTTAACTGTTTGATGTTCAAATCTAACTCTGCTGCAGTTTGGCGCTCATTCTTTTCACGACTGCACATGCAAACATGCACAATTCTAACTTCTCTGCAGCGAATTCAGGCATGTCGTTAGCACTGCAGCGCCCCCTACAGCAGCTTGTGGAACTTGCAGAACCACATGAGTGGTTGGTTGTTTGCATCAGACAGACATCCTTTGTCATATCACTAACAGAGGGAAATGTACTGTATATTGCTGGCTACCTCTATGCTGTGGACAGGCTTGGACTGAAATACAAATTCAGTAAACACAGTGTAAAGGTATTTAAGAATTGGAATAGCGTGAAATGCATATCTATGTAGAATTGAGATCCCAAATGGATATATTTGCTCATGTCATATTATGAATATAGTTGAGGCAGAGCATATGAAAGTTTTTCACAACAAATTTAATGCATTTTCATATTGTGCAGAAAGAAAAGTGCCAAAAATAAAATGTACCAGTTCCGTAAGAGATCTAGAAATCTATCAAAGATATGTGGACATACAGTGTAGTCCAATTCCTCACACAATAACAGTGCTACTAGGTTTACATATATTCTACATATCTATTCATGTTGGTATTACTTATTGTCTGTTATAGTGCACAAGTATTTAGACAACTCTACAGTATTTGCTATTATGCTTAGTCTCATCTCAGACAGTGATGAGACTAACTACAGAGAGGAGATCCAGCACCTGACAAGGTGGTGTTCAGATAACAATCTTGTCCTGAACACCAACAAGACTAAGGAAGTCATTGTGGATTATAGGAGGTCCAGGAAGACAAAA